TTGAAAAGATTTGGGCATATCCAAGACATGCTGCTTTTTCTTTAATTAGGAAATTTTGGATAATCGTATCTTTAATAAAACTCTGTAAATTGCTGAAATGAGATGGAATTATTAAGAGGAAACTGTCGGCAAGATGACGTCGCTTTACCTTTGATGCATTTGAATGGTAAAAGTACAGAATGTCATCTCTTCGATCTGTTAGTCACTCATTGAATAAGTAAATCAAGTTATGCAATTCCAGTCAGTATTAATTGATCACCAAATTGCCCGACTAACCGATCGTTTAGTGATCCGCCTATCACTTCATTAAAACAATCATTCATTCGCTCTAACATTTGTCTTTTCGGTTCATCAGTTAGTCAGTTTTGACAGTGATTTAATCGTTTCTTCATATATCTTTCTTCCCCTTTTTTTTTTGGTCAATAGGAAATAGATCAGTATGTGTAGTTGTTGGGGGAGGATGAATGAGAGAGAGGAAGATGCAAATTTTATGCTAATTTTTAGTCTTTATCTTACTTCGTCTGAACAATGTGAACTTTTTTCTTTTTTGGAAGTGCTTTTTTTTTTTTTTGGTAACGGCGAAGAAGATTGGAAGCTGAATCATTCAGAACAAGTAGCTCTATGCTCTACTCTGTGTGTATGCTTATTTGTTTGTTTGTTCTCTATCTCTTCATTCATAAAATTGCATATAAAACTGTATGTCTGTGCGAATAGATGGGCTTATGTATATATGTATATAATTTATTTATATGTGCTGTTGTATGCTATAGAGAAATGCAAATTCTTGATTTTTTTTTGCATCAATATCCCGAAGAAACTTCAGGCCTTCGCTGATGATGAAACACGGGAGACAATCGATTTGATGCATCGTATGACTCGGACAGCAACCACTCATACTGCATCACCGGTGCATGATCGGTCACTGGTATATGTATCAGATATTTCACATCCAGAAGAGATGGATCGAGATGTGCTAGATCAAGCAGTGGGTGATGATGCTGCTATTGCAACGATAGAAAATAAACCGGAATTATTGTTACAGCAAAGTAAATATCCGGCATTGAATCAGATGCTTGGTAAGTATTATTTCGGTACATGGTTTTCATAATGATAACTGTAATTCAAGATAGATGAGCAGTTCCGATTTTTTTACTTTTACTTGAACTCACTCATTATAATAACTTTGCAGTTCCATTTCTAAACATTGACCACTTCTTGAGCAATTATGTCAATATTTGAATAACTTTTACGCTTTTTTTTGGTTTCAATATATGATGGATATTTCACTGCAGTTTCGAATTCGAAAAAAAAAACTTTCAAATATTTAGGGCGCAAGTGTTATAGTTGATCACTAGTTGTATCGAATACATCCCTATGGGAAACGTAAATGATAGTTTAGAATACGATGATATCATTTCCGTTGTTGACTGTTTTCTTCATTTTGAATTATAGCTCGTTTCTTACTTATAAACTGAATTGTATCCACATTTATAACTTCCCTTTTCACGAATTGTAATTTTTTCGTTGACGAACCCAAAGATTTGCAAAGTTAGCATGTGCGGTGGCTACTGAATTTGAAAGTGAACAGGAAGTTTTCACTTTTTTGTAAGTCTTGTAGTTGTTAAAAGGTTTTTTACGAGTTTGATATTTTAGAGTCAATGCGCATCATGTTCGAAGCCCAACTGGAAAAAATGAAGGCCGAGAATTTCGCAGATGATATCAGAGCTCAAATTGAGCTGCAAAAGGTTTGCTTGGTGTATTTACTTTAGGTTAAAAATTTTAAACATATTTTTTGCAGTTTAGAATCAGACAATGATTCACTTATATCTCCAGAATTATTTTAGTCATACCGAAATTTGCTGCGATCTCGAATTGATGCTATAACAAAGCAAATAACAAATCTGCGATCATCGGGTATGAACTGTTTTTATGCACGAATTGAAGAGCTAGGTATTGAGGCATCAACACCAAGTTTGTTGTTGGAAAATGCGAAAGAAATTGTTGCACATCACAAAAAAATTACGGTTAGTTCTTGAACTAAGAAAAAAATTTCAAAATTCGACGAAAAACTGATAATTTTCTTCTGCATTTAATACCGAAGAAAAATATTCACTGGAGTGTTCGTCGCGAAAAAAAGCAAGGCGACATAATCATATTTTTCAGCACTGCATTTTTGTTAAAGAGATCCTTGTTTCCTTTACAATGTATGTACAAGTCTCTGAGTAATTTAAAATTTTTTGTCCTAAATCTTACCAATGTAGCGTAATTTTCAAGGCAGAATGTGCAGCCCTGGAAAGTGAAATTACTGCATTGGAAATGTCTAATCAGCAGTTGGAAATTAAAGTACGCCGGCGGGAAGAATTGGAATCTGCCAAAAATGCAAATAATACTGCCACCCTTTCAAATACCAACACTCAATTATTAAGCTCGCTTTGCGCTGCTAATTCCCTGGTACTTGCTGAAAACTTCCAAGCTCTTACTGCACACAACAAAAATTTATTGAATCGAGTAACACAAATTGCAGACAAGGTCAGATTCATTTGCGTCTTACCGACCTTATAAATATATCACATGCGATGCGTTAAATATATTACATGATGTCTTACCCTCTAAAAATCTAAGCAAGTTAAATATGAAGAATGGCTTATAAGTTATACTGCACAGCTCTCTTATTAGCCTCTTATATGTTTGTCAACTACAATCGGATCAAATTTTAGGAATTGTGAAGTTCTTTTCAAAATCTCATATTTAATTGGAAACATGAGTCTCGCAGGAATCGAATTATCCTGAACCTAAGCCAATGGCGTGTTCCACTTGACCAAAATATTTTCAGGGCGATATCGGAAACGCTACCGCGGATGTCAGTAACCATGTAACATCAGCACAAGATGGTCTCCTGTCACCACAATCGGATAGTGCTGTCCTGACATTTTCTTCTGCTCCAGGTAGTGAAATATTTATTGTGCCCTGAAATCCAACAGAATAGAATGAAGCAGACAATAGACCAAATTTCCCTTGCTGTTGGAGAGTCCTGCTGGAGATGTTCGTTGAAGGGTCCTATTTCCGGTTCACGAGATAAGACATATGTATAAGTGAGGTTTACGGCAATACATTTTTAAGCTGGTTTTGGGCACCAGTCATCCAGTCAGTCGACCTTTACTTCCCTTTCTGTTGGCGCTACTCCACTGAAGCGCTCCCGACAGCGACAGATCCGGAACGGCGTCGCCAAAAAGCCACTTTCTGGGTCTAACAAACAACCCAGTGATCCGAAAGAGGATGAGGAAATGGAGCGAAAAATTCAGGACATTGTCGCGAAAGCTTTAGAAGTAAGATTCCATTATCATTGAAACTTTTGAGTATTTTAAATGCGATATCGTTTAACTTGGTGTATTTATTTCTTAGATGTTAGATTTGCTATCGGGTATAATCATCTAACTTTAGAGCATCACATTCCTTTTAACTTTAATTTAGCTACGGATATAGAATTCGAGAAAAAATATTTCAGCGTATGAGCGCGCAAAAACCTTATAAGTATGTTATGCATGGAATGATTGTTAGTGGTTTTAAAGTGAATTTATCAACAGAAATTTGGATTGCAAGAATATTTCAGGTAGATAGTGCAGCGAAATGTGCGGAAAAAGAACGACGAGCACGAGGTGAAAAACGTAAAGAAAAGGGTATAATGTTAGGAACAGTACGTTCGTTAAGCGATATAACATTGTCTTCCGTATCCCTTTTATCTTCAACGGAGAAACCTCTTGCACTCCCTTGTGTTCCTGTTTCTACAACTATGACAACCGAAAGTGAAGTCCGAATTTCATGTTCCGCTTCTTACACGTTATCGAAAAATATTGAATCCACCGACAGTGTCAGGTCTTCTGTTGATGAGTAAACACGCATTTCTGTGATATGTTATGTGGATTTCCGAAGGGTTGAGCTAAAAAATGATTAGGAAAAAAGTTTGGAGAAAAAATTTATAATGGGACAATTTAGAATGAAAACAGTAGATAATTTGTTAGATAAATATGTCAACCAGGGCAGCCTGTGTTATCCTTAATTAAATCATCAGAAGGTGAGGGAATGGTAATGGGGAAAATGCGACACCTTTTCATTTAGCCAATTTCAGATCATTTCAGGACAGTCATCAAGTAATAAGAAAGGATAGGAGGGACAGACAGTAGGAGGACCTCAGTTTGATAATACCATTTCTAAAGCTCAATTCTTTTAATCTGATAACTCTACCACTGCCAGTTTTGTGTTCTAGGTTATTTCCACTTTTTGCTGCTTCGTTAACTAACTTTGACTTCCATGCTGTGAAAAGATTTTTTTCTTTCATTTTATTCAAATTTAAAAAATGTTCGAACTTAGATTTTTAGTTGAAATTCTCCAGTACTTTGTTTTAAAATTTGATCAACCTTTCAAAAATAACGGATACATACAGGGCTTTCTATAGCGCACAAGTTTTTTATCATTCATCATGTCAGCGATGCCTTTCAGAAATGTTTTGTAAATAAAGTGCATCCGGATTTAATGTTTCAAGTATTGTTTGTCACTGTCACCTTATTTTCTAAAAAGGTACTGTTGATTGATTGATGGTGTTTTAGCTAGTATTTGTTTTGAATCCAACTTTTACATTTGAATTTTAAATAGAATTTGAGTGATTATGCTATCGAAATTTTGGTTGGGTGATACCTTGAAATGACAAAAAAAAAGTCATTAAACTTCTAAGTCTTAATTTTTTTATATTTTATGTTTCATTAATGTGACTAAAATTCCGCAGCCGTCTTAGTTGTTTCAGCAATCCGGTGTTTTTTTTTTTTTTTTTTCTCAGGCAAATAAAAATTGATCATTGATATTCTTTCCAAATCATTTGCGAACAGTCGAGTAACTAAAACTGGGATGGCATTGTGAATTTACTTGTATTTTTTGAAATTCGTTTATCGAGTTTTAAACTGAAGGACACTGAACTTTTAGGTCTTTATACATTCCTCAATTTTCAAATGAAGATTGTGCCATCTGAATCGACCTCTTGGAGCAAAAGTACATCTAAAAACAATGACAGTAAAAATGATTCAAAGGTATGGCGGTCAAATTTAAATTGTACATTCATAAGAAGCACAGACTTAGCCATTCTAATCCCTTGATAACTTATCATACTCCTCATTCTTGCGTCAAATTGGCTTTACATTTGTAAGTTATAAATTTTGAAAATGGTAATAAAGACAAGAGTTGTAAAGATACACAGGGTGATGGACTAGGTAAAGTGTAATTTTGTTTGCTAACAAACGTTTATTGTCAAAAGTGAGAAGAGTTGATTGATTGGCGCAAACATGGAAATGGATGGTAAGGAAGAGAGAAAATTGAATTTTCTGAAAATTTCAACAGAAACAAAAAAAGAAATTGAGGAAACATTTATATATATCATCGAGAAAGAAAGGGACGACAAAGGTCATCGTTGTTGTTGTTGTTGTTGGATGTATCATAGAAGCAACAAAGTCTGATGAATTGCAATTGGCTGATATGACGCGAAATTTAAAGTATATTCTTTATAAATATAATAATTACTTTTATGCATTGTAAATTCAAAAATATTTCAATTTAAAGTTTTGATCATATCATAACAACGACTACTTTCACTCGTTGTAAATTTAAAATATTTCGATTTTAAAATTTGATTACATCATAACAATGATTGCTTTGCAAATTTAAAAAATAGTTGTAATAGAGATATTACTTTTTAAAAACATTTATGCGATATTCGCTTTCAAGCTGTAGTAAAAAATGCTAAAATATTTGCCATCTGTAAATGATATCAAAGTTGGATGTAAGTCTTATCAATCAACCTGAATCGAAATGTAATTTGATTCAGTTTTATTTTATCATTTTTCTTTCCCGATTATTTTATGGTCGCTTTCTCAAACAGTTCAAAATAAAAGAAATTTTCCTAAAGTTTTGGTAAATCAAAAAAAGAAACCAAAAATTTGGAAAATAAAAAAAAACAACAATGAGTAATTCTGATTCTTGATCTCATCAAAATGTAAGACAGTATTTTGTTTTCAGTGAACTAGTTAAGTATATATCGCCGGTTTTTTGTTTTTTTGCTCAAAAAAGTATGGGAAATTCCCTTCATAATTCTATTCTTTTATTTTGAAATTCCAAAACTTTTCACGAATGTAATAAAATCTTTTAATTGTAATAAACCTTTTTAAAAAACAATTTTTTTAACAAGCTGTAACACATAATCAAGTGACAGTACGATATAACGCAAGCTGTCACTGTTGAGAATTTTGATAAAATTTCCTTTTTTCATAAATAAAATAAATTACTAGATGTGGTATGAGGCTATAATATTAATTTAAAGCATATAAATTTACATTTTTTCCCGGAATATGACGTTTTTCTTTTTTTCGGAATTCGATCGATTCCATTGATCTTAGTTGTGTATCGAAATTCAGTTGGTAAATCATTGGTTAGGTTATTTCCTGCAAAATCGTATCAGACCGATAATGTTTCATCCATAGCACCGAATTCTTAGCCAATATTATATTCTCATTCGTCTACCTTTTCAGCTTCACATGCATAACCGCATTTGAGCTGTTTTCAATTAGGCTAACACTACCTGTCTCGCTTAAATTTTTAACAGCTATCGGCTGTCTCGTTGTCGGTTGTCAGTTGTCAGTTGTCAGTTGCCAGTTGCCAGTAGTCGGTTTTTAATATGAATATTAGCTTAACCATTTAACATAATTATTATTCAATATATTCAATTTAATTAAATATTCAATACGTGTAATACAATAATGGCAAGGATAGTTATGCGAAAAACTCCAAAAGGTTGTCCTCACTCAAAAAGTAAAGAAAAAATCCCTAAATAACTAGGCTTATGTCAGGCTAGATCACGACTTTTATCCTTTGTACTAATCGCTGCATACAAATTTTGAATACATCCTGATCGAATATCATGGAAACACATCTTTTCTCGTCCTTATTTTAATGAATCATGAGCATAATATTTAAATTCAAATTCGAAATTAAATTTTAGCCATCCACAAAATCATTTGTACCACCAAAAACGCCTTCGCTTAGGAACAGTGGAAAAGAATGCATAATAGAGAATCGATTTGAACTGGGTTGGAGCAGGAGCGGCAAAGTCGCACAATGTCCGCTTAGGTGTCTCAGAAGTACCAAAAGCGCTAGGCAAACTGACAAAGCAATATTTAATGTTAATGAGTTGCATTTTTCCTTTTTTTTCTTTCCCTATTACAAAATCTTCCGAAATAACTGAACCACATTTACAATAGGCTAGCAAAATAAGTCCAATGAACGTTCATATTTGTCGTGCAAAATATGCCAACAAGTAGCAGTTATGCTAATTATAGTAAATGAGTCCAAACAAGCATTGTGTAATATAACCAATAAAATAAGCAGTAAATATTT